TCCTTGAGTAAGTCTTAGGGTCCTTTAGCTTTCTTTGGTGGCTGCGCTTTGATTTGGGTCCTTTGGGTACGACATTGTCTCGCGAAGCCTTGCCTTGCCTCAGGGCACGCAAACATATATATATATATATACACATGTGTGTATATATATGTGTATATATATATATATATATTTATGTCATGGATACATGAGTAACTGCAACGCTGATGCAGCTGATTAATGAAATTGCGTTCTTGCGATTCCGTGAGATGCTGCTGACCAGGAACTCCGATATCATGTCATAATTAGCTTCATGCTTGTCGGTTGAAGGAACCAAAAACGGACTTTTTTGGGATCCCCTCCAAAGGCGGCACAAAAACGGCTGTCCCTGACCAGATCTCATTGACGACTGAGCTGAACGAACTTCAGAGCTTTCTGCGTTCATGCCGACTCATCCAGAGGGTTGGCAGGGTTGGGGGTAGAAAGGGGTCCACCGTCCTCAGAAGGTAACTTGCTGGTGCTCAGTAGGGGTTTTAGGAATGAACCCAGAGGTCCCCTTACAGGAAACCATGGGGGATGGTTTATAGGGGTCCTTCCAACTCATTCTCTGCCTGTCACACCAGCCCCATTTGAGCCATTTCGCACTGACAGCAAGCACCATGTTGCCTCACGCCACGCCAAACATCCCTTCGACAACCAAACACAGGGCGCCCAAATTTAGGAACATGAAGTTGGGGCTACCTGTGTCTGGCCTCAACCCTTGATTTTGAGAGTCTGTGATGAAATCACGTGTATACATGTATGTTTGGATATATATATATATATATTGATGTTGTCAACATGAGGCTCCCCCCTTTCCTGTTTAAGCTGAGACCGAGTGCCATTAGCTATACCATGGGTGGAGTGGATGTCGCCCATGGATTAGCCTCTTTCAACCATGGAATAAGACACGTCGTGCTTCTTTCCAAACGGTTGTCTTCCTTTCAGCCCTCCAAAACTCTCCTCAGTGGACGGCCTAAAAAAGCTCCACAACTGAAATGGTCCAAACCCAACTAGTTTCAAGCCCAGGAACTCAGGAAGTGAGAAAACGCTCCGATGGTCCCCTTCCATTCTTGCAAGACACGGTTACCCCCTTCTTGGCGTAGGGCACATGCCGCCAGCCTATGCGGAAAGAATGCCATTAGAATGCCGGGAAGTGGCAATCCTGTCTAAGATAGTTTCCACTACCCCCAAACCATCCAAACCGAAGCTACCTGGAGGTAGTCGTTTCAGGGTGGTGGAACCCATCCTAGATAATGGGAATGTGCTTGGAAAACTGGAAAACTCATACTGGTTGGTGTCCAGGTAAATACCCATATATTCCGGTTGGTCTTTCAGGTCGGGAAAAAAAAAAAAAAAACGAACGGTTGGAAGGGGAAACCAAAAGGACATCTGTCAGTACTCCCATATTATTTTTCGGTTCATATCCTTTATGCTTGAATGTACTTGATGGTTCTGGTGTAATTTTCAGGGTCGCGACCACCTCCCCATGTAATTTTCTGGTGGACTTGATGGTTCAGGGTCGCTAGGCCCATCAACATAGAACCCAAAAGGTCCATGTTCAAGGAAACTGGTCTTCCAGGACCCCTCCGTCAGGCTTCCATGTTATATTGTCGACAGGAGGGCAAGTCCAAGATGGGTTCTTTGTGGTTCAAAGGAGAAAGCAAATAATAACATTTCGCGCTTGCTTCGAAACCGAAGTCAACACAGCTACTTTCCTTTTTGCCCCGCCCGTATTAATAGAATAAGCCACCTATAAGTGGATGGAATGCTTCCGGATTTGTCCAAGCACTTGAGCTCGGTTCGAGTCACACGGCCTCGAAGGAGCGAACCAAACAGTTTTTCACCTCAAGTGACTGGAGAACAGAATAATGTTCACCCCGGAATAAGCAGAAGCCCTGGTTGATAGGGGGGTGTCCCCTTTCAGTGGGGATTCAGACCACTTTTGGCAACACCCCCCTAATAGTGGGATGGGTTTATTAATCCTGGGTCAACATTAAGCCCCAAACAGTGAACCCTCCAGAAGCCTCCAGAACCCCCCTGAACCCTCCTTGAAAGCTGCCCCAAACCACACCAGAGCCTATTTGCGCAAAGAGCCTACAGCTTTGGGAAGTTGAAGGTTCAAGATCCAAGCCAATACGTAGCCTGCAAGCTCTCATGTTTCTTGCAGTCCGCGGGTACCTCCTGGTGAAACGGGCGAGGCAAAAAACCGGACGAGACTCTCCTCGCTCGGCTACGAAGATGAAGCACGAGGGACGGGCCAAATAGTGTGGGTGTGTTTTGTTTCAGATACCCGTTTTGGGTTGCTAATCCTGGGTTTCGGTTAGCAATGAACGAACAAACCCCGGCCTGCGTGATTCTGACGGTTGCTTTTGCTGCCGTGAGCAAGATATATGAACTCAAGCTAGCTGCATCTAACTTGACTCAAACCTTTGGAGATCAGATTCCATGGTCTGATGTTTCTCAGATCGAAACGTGCTCCCCGTTTGACTCAAGGCAGCTCAATACACATCATTAGGCCAATCCCGGCAGGCCAAGCACGCGAACTCAGATACTGTTTAACCCAGAAATAGTATCGTCCAACCACATCTTTTTGGACAGAAGCAACGGGATTTAGGTGCATGGGACAAACGAAGAGAAGTTGGGGAGTGCTGGTTCAGATCCAGTGTTATATTTCGCTGGCCTACAACCATAAGTATCCTTTTTGAAAAATGGATGGCCCTAGTAAATGGAATAAAAACCCATCTAAACAAATGCCAATCAAACTATCCTACAAGGGCACCTATGCCTACAACGTTCGTCACGGCTGTCTCTGCAAACTCCGCTAGCCAGTCGAGCCCCGACCCCACCGCTCTTGGGGCAACGAAGCCCCCGCGCAGTTCCCAAGTGGCAGGGAGATTTTAGAAACAAACTAAATGTCATGTAAGTATGAATACCTTGCACATTCTTCCGTTTGGTCAAGTCCTCTGGATATGCTTGTTTGGCCAGTAGTGATCGATTCTCTTTAACAGCAAGAGGGGAAGATACAAACACATGTTTGAGCAACTGGAAGTATTGAACAAACGGTTTGAGTGGCTGCGCCATCCAAGTAGCTCCATGCTTCAATGCAACGCCGCCAAGCCCAATTCGCGAGCGATAACCCCTGGCAATTCGCAGGGGGTGAGACCCTGGGCTCGTTGGTGCGTGGAGTAGCAAATGTCAAAGGGAACCCACAAGCCGGAAGTAAGTGCCGCGAACATCCCAAATTTTCGCCAGACACCTTGCCCACCAAAAACGAGTAATGTTCATATTTCGTCTATCCTGAAAAAAATGTAGGAGACCCCGCACACTGGCATATGTTGGGCTCTGCGATCGAAACTGCTCGAAACAGAATTCGGGCATAGTGTCGCTTGAGCCCTGAAACTCCTAGACTTTTGGAAAAGAAAGCACAAGGAACCCAACGAGATCCAACGAGCCTTGTTGGGGGTCAGTGTTGTAGCATAGGAACACCTATTAATGTAGGAACACTTTTTGGAATTGCGCCCGAGTTGCGAAAAATGCGCTCGAGTAGCGGGAAATTGCGCTCGAGTTGCGGGTTCGTTTTCTCTCGAGCACTTCATCAAAACAGCTATAGGCAATCTCAAAAAGTGCTCGAATTGGATTTGAGCAGAAACAAGCGCTCGCATGCCAAAAACTGTCCGGAGCACTTTTTTGTGTATCAAAGGGTCCTCCAGGTAATTATCATTTTGACAATCTGTTGACCGGTGCATGCTCGCATGTCGCTGGTCTCGTGTTTCCTCCGCACCATGTGCCAAAGGCTCGCGCCAAAGCGCGTGCCTTTGGAACGCGAGGAGCCATAGGAAGCTTCAGGCGGATCAAAGGCACAGGGGACCTTTTGCACAGGAAGTTACTTGAATCCTCAGCAAGAAGCAATTGTTTTGAATAGTTATACTAGTAAACTTGTTACAAATCTTGGTAATGCTAGCATAGGTGAACTAAACTGGAAACATGGAGGGATTTCCCTGGTAAATGGAATGCAACTCATCTACAGTGGAAACCATTTTTTTTAGACCAACTAAAAAAGGAGACCAATGATCAAAGACATAACGCAGTGTTAGCGCTAACAACTAATTGCAGTTTGGCTCCCGCACAAGTGGCTAGGCCTTCACATGCTCAAACAAAACGCGTATCACGCTCTTACGTGAAATATTTGTTGGGCCCAAATAATGAAAAAAAGCTACCAAATGGCGGAATGGCAGCAAATTAAATTGACGCTTGAAACATCTTGAAAAGACCAAACCTAGAAAGACACGGTAATAAGAAACTAGTCTCTGGATATCCAACGACGGCAATCAGCGACTAAGACACGCTTATCGCCTCTTGAAACCGAAGTGCGGGAGTGGCACAGGGCCGAAGCTTTCTGGTTGGAACCACGACGTTTGGGCTACCTTTGACACATGCCCGATTCATATATATGTTGGACCCACAAGTTGGATCGCTACATGGGCTCAGTTGGATACTTGGATACTACATGTTTGTCCGGCGCAAGCGATCGGAATCCATTCTGTTTCGAACCGGTTAAAAGGTTCAACCGAAAAAAGAACGCCTAGGCTCAACCGAAAGATCAACAGGTCGACTCGCGTGCAAGTGAGCTGTCTGTTGAATCCGTGACTTACAGAAGCCATGCTTGCAAACTACGAAGCGGCCTTGAGGACCCTGAGACACTTCTTGCTCCACTTGTCTCTTTGGAATTTCGTGTGTTCTGTTGCTTCTCTGATTCACCTGTTCGCTTGAGCATGCATGATTCCAGGTTACCGCATTACCCTTGGTCTTTTGGTTTGGTTCGGGGACTTGAACTCCTAGCCGTTTAGAGTCAATTAGAGGAACCACGCCAAATGGGCGTGTCTTTTTGATAATCTGATAGGGTACCCACCCCCAAAATGGCGGTTTGTCAGTTGGGTACCCTCCAAAAAACACAGACCCAAATCACGAAATTGGAGGCTGTTGATTGCCCTGCCAGAGAGATCCAGTGCCTTCCGCTTTCAACAGAAGCTGAGCGATGTCAGTAGAACATGTCCAGCTCCTGGTGGGACAGATTCGCCGCGCGGGCAGAAGGTACACACACGGCTACGTGTTTTGTTGAGGATACCATGTGTGGGGCTGTCTTAAAGGAAAAAGGAAAACGGGCAGGGGTGCCCTATTTTTACACATCCCCGGACCCTGACGTTTTATTCTGGGGGGGTGGCTTCCTTTGTGGGAGGGTGTGGACCCCCGGGGCGGCACTAAGGGATTCCTCTCCCGATGAGCACCCCCCTCCCGGCCCCCTTCCTGGCGTCAGGGCGACAGTGCCTCGTCTGTCTCTGCGTCTTTCTCTTCTCTCACCCGTTCCGCGCTCTGTCTGTCTCCTGTGCCCCTTCCTCTCTCCCTCTCCTCTCGCTTCTCCCGGGCTTTGTGGGGTGCGTGCGCTGCTGTTCACGTCCTTGGCTAGGGTGGTGTCCTAGTCCAGGGTGCGTGTGACTCAGCCACGTCCCGGTCCTGTCCTTTCCCTCCTTCTTGTTTTCTCTCCTTCTTCTCTTTCTGGGGTGCGTGTGCTGCTGTCCACGTCCTTGGCTAGGGGGGGGCCCGGTCCTGTCCTTTCCCTCCTTCTTGTTTTCTCTCTTTCTTGTCTTGCTTCTCCCACTCTTTCTGGGGTGCGTGTGCTGCTGTCCACGTCCTTGGCTAGGGTGGTGTCCTAGTCCGGGGTGCGTGTGCTCAGCCACGTCCCTGTTCTCTCTTCTCCTCCTGGTCCTCTTCCTGCTTTTGTTTCCCTCCCTTGCCTTTGGGGCACGTGTGCTGCTGTCCACATCCTTGGCTGACTCAGTCACGTCCCAGTTCTCTCCTTCTCTTCTCCTTCAGGCGCGTATGCCCCTCCTTGCTTTCTCTGTCCTTCGCTTGTCGACTAAGGCTTATGCTCTCTTAGTGAGGGGCGCTCTCACGCTCCGTGGCGATGTGCCTGGCACGGTTAAATGATCCGCACCTCTTGCGCTTTACTGCCGGTCCTTGTTACTGTGCACCTGGCTTTACTTGCCTCTTCAGTGCATCAAATGTCTCGGTTCTAGTTCTCATTGGGCTCAATGGACTCCTTTCAGTCTCGTGCCTTGCATGTCGCCTTGGCGCTGGCGGAAAGCGCTGTGCGGCACTACTCGGAGGCTCCGCTTCACCATCGCAGCCGCAGCCCTGTGAGCGCCCTGGCGGATCAGCCATCCGGTGCTGCCACGCCCCCAGCTGAAGTACGAGCTCGGGCCCCCCGCCCCCCGAGCCCCACACGGTTGCGTCCTCCTCCACCTGCAGCGCCTCGGACTCGCAGGCCCCTAACGGTCTTTGGCGGCGCCCCGCCTTTGGCCCCGCCCCCTCGTTCTGGCTCGGCTGGCTCTGCCACTGCCTGCCGCACGGCTTCCCGCCCATCCCACCCGCGTGCTTCCAGTCGGCCTGCCCGCACACCCCCTCAGGCGCCCGCCCGCCCGGTTGCTGCTGCAGCTCCAGCGACTAGCAAAGGCGCCCGCCGCCGTGAGCGGCGCCGTGCAGGAGCAGCCACCGGCCCCCTCACCCCCAGCCCGCCCTCCCCGCTCCTCCGCCAGCTTCCTCCTGGTGTTTTGGTCTCGCCGGTCCCGGCTGCGCTGTCTATGACAGCCATTGGCAGTCTGCGAGGCGCCTTCTTGTCCGCCAGCCCCACCTTGGCGGCCTTCCCCCGGCGTGGTCCAGGCGTACCAGCTTCCGGATGAGAGTGGGGTGTTCTTCTTTCACTCCGACATGGCCAACCCTCAAACTCGGGCACAAGTGGCTGACGAGCTTGGACACGCCCATTGGTCGCCTCCTGATTTCCGTCTCCAGTGAGGGCCCTCGCCAAGCCTTGGCTCTGGCGGATAACTAGGCTCGCCTCCTGTTTTTCCATTTTTACAGCTTGCTGTCGGAAAGGAAAAAATAACGAGCTGGATGCTTGCTCATGTTGGTTGAGGCCTCCTTGCGTCAATCAGGGCCATTCGGTTTCAGGTTCTTTGCTACATGTATGCTTCTGCCGCCTCCGCCATCTCGGTTCTCAGTCAGAGTCAGGACCCTGCACCGACCACTGACAACACTCACTTTTAACCCTCACGTTGGTACACTTACGCATTTACCTTTGTCTGTTTGTGCCCTGTGTGTTTGCTCTTTTCGTCGTGTTGCTTTGTTTCGTCTTTGTTTTGCCAGCTCTGCTCTGCCCCTGGAACTGGTCCTGTTTGGCTGTGTGGTCTCCCTCGGCTGTGCCTACGCTCTGGCACTGCTGCTTTGCGCTCTCTGTTTGGCCCCTGCGTGGCCTTCCCGGCCCCGCGTGGCCTTCAACTCTGTCCTGTCCACGTTCTCGGCCCCTGCGTGGCCTTACGGCCCCCGTGCGGCCTTGCGCTCTGTCCAGTCTTCATGGACCTTCTCCCCGCCCTTGAAGATGCGGATTCGTCTGAGTCGGAGGAGGCGCCAGAGAATGCGCGTGTCGACCTGGATGTTGGCATCCGTCTGTCTCTCCCTTCCTTTCAGGCGTCCTGCGCAGGGGATGATATGTGTTGGAGGGGGAGTCGCGTCCTCCGATTCGCCTCTGTGCAGGCAGGCGGCGTAGGTACCGACGCCCGCTTTATCGGGCATTGGTGGGGCCAGTCCCTCTCTCACCTGGGAGCGGACATAGGATGCGTCTCTGAGATTGGCTTCACCTCCTCCGACTCTGCCCCTTCTCTCATTGATGGATTTGCCTCCGCCGGTTACACTGCTGTGTGTCATGGCCCCTTGGGAGCGCCGCCTGCCGCTCGCTCTGGTGTTGTTCTGGCAGTTCGGCGCGGTGCCATCCTTGGCTGGTGTGATGTTGCGCGTGCTCCGGGTGGCCGTGGCATGGCCGGCACTATACATCTTTCAGGCGGCTGTCCTGTTCGTATCGTGGGCGTGTGCACGGTGACTGGAGCCAGTCTTCCCGGGTTCGATATAGTGATCCGTCTAAGCTGGCCGAAGAGGCTTCACTGGTCCAGTTTGTTCGGGAGCAACTCCGCCTGGCGGACGAGCTTAGTATCCCGTGCATTTGCATGGGTGACTTCAACTCCGTCGCCTCGCTGGATCTTGATGTTTGGCATGGATCGCACGTTCTCCGTCTGTCGTCCCTCGCTGCTCACATGCCTTCCTTCGACTGCGTAGACACCTTTCGTCTCCGCCACGCAGGCCTCCGGGCCTACACCTTTTTTGCCCACTCTGGCTCTGCAAGCCGCCTGGATGGCATTTGGTCCTTGAGCCCACGTGGGGCTGAACCTCTCCTGCTGCTCAACTCTGCGGTTCTTGTTGGCTGGCGTCGCCGTGTTGATCATGAGCCCGTGCTTGCCGACTTTCTTGCCGCGCTCCCATTGGTGGAAGATGATTCCCCTGCCGGCCCTCCTTCTTGGCGTTTTTTGGCAGAGACCATTGAGTCCGGCCCTGTGCCCCAACTGGAGTCGTTACGTCACACCGTGGCGAGTTCCCTTGCCGCGCATGCTCCGTTACTCCAACACCTTGAAGAGGATAGCTTCCTCCTGTTTAGCCTGTCCCAACCCTCTCATCTGTTCTTCTCCTCGTGTGAGGGATTGGATGGTACCGGTGAGGGTGCACCTGCGGATCTGCGCTCTGAGGTGCTGTCCTCTCGCATTGGGCGGGCCTTCGACTCGCTCCAATCTGTCCTTGTCCAATGCCTCCCCGCTATACCTCCGCCAGTATCTCGTGCCCGTGTATCGGCCGCCCGGGCTTGGGAAGAGTGCGTTCACCAGTTACGGCTTCTCCGCCGTTTGTTCCTGGATGCCCCTCCTGCCGATCCGCAACTTGCGCTTGAAGAAGTGCAACCATACTGGACCAAGGCTTGTAAAGTCGAGGGCCGCACCCGCTCCCCGCCTACCCTACCGCCTGTGGCTTGGGACGAGTTCTCGCCCAACCCTCCAGCATGGCTGGCGAACGTGGGCTGGCGGGATCTCCAGGCTTGGCTTCCCGCTCCCCCGCCTGACGCCTTCCTCTTCACCTCCTGCTACCTCGCAGTTGTGTTGGCCATCGCCTTCTCCTTCCAGCGTCGTGCGCCTTCGGCAGATCCAGGCTTGGCTCAGCGAAGCGGCGGGGCGCCGTGACCAGTGCCGGCGCCTCTACCGGCAAGATAGCCTAAGCGCTCGGTTGTGCACCTTGCGCTGGGGACATCAGGCGTTGGTCTCGGCTCATGCGACCTGCTCGTCCACCTCACCTTGGCTATGTTCCCTCGACCGTCACGCTTCCTGATGGCGCGGTGGCAAGGCCCCGGGACAAAGCGGAAGTGTTAGTTGGAGCCGTCCAGGAGTGGACACGCCTGTTTCATGACCCGTCCTCCCCATGGTCTAGTCCTTACGTTGACTCGTGGATGGATGGCGCCGGTGTCATCCGTGGGTGCCCAGCCTTCCAGTGCATCTCTACATTGGACTTGCCTACTTTGAGTGGTCGCCTTGGCGCTGCCTACCTGCACCCTGGCCCTTGGGTTCAGGTGCGCTGGTCGCGAGAGCAGCTTTGCGTCTGGGATGAGTTTCGTCTTTCGGTGGGCGGCTGGGTCATCAGCTGGGGAACCTCGGGGGTTTCGGCCTGGCGGGTGTCAACGCAAGCTTGGATTGTTATCCGCGTGTCTGGGCGGCCCCCGGCCGCTTGCCCGCCTGATTGGTGGCTCCTCCAGCCGCAGGGGGATTTGCTGCTCCGACGGCTAGAGCCACCCGACTTTGAGTTGGTTCTCCCTCTCACTGAGGCGGAGCGCTCCACACTTATTCGGCGCATGCGTCGCTCTCGCCCAGGTCCTTCCGGCTTCAAGCTCCTCTTCCTCTCTCTTTTCCCGCCCCGCGCCCAGATGCTATTCTGGCGCCTGCTTGATGTGCAACGCCTTGCCGCTTGCGTCGCGCCGTCTCTTCGGCGTGCCATCCAGGTCCACATGCCCAAACCGTCTGGCGGGTTTCGAGCCCTGTCCATGCTGGAGGAGGGCTTCAAGGCGCTTGAGGGGCCGGTCACCAAGCGTCTGGTTGAGCGTCGCAGGATAGAGGCGATGCAGCTGTATTCCTCTACCAA